GCCCAAACCCCCAGATGAACAAAGGGACTCCAATCAGGCATGATATTCCAAAGCCTTAGAGATGAACTTTCAGGAGCTCAGGGCCAAGGCCTGACGTCCTTAGGCAAGGTTAATTCTCTGCTGCATGCTCTCCTTCACAGGGTCATTGTGAGGATCAAATGTCATGTATGTGAGGTATTAGCACATGCCTGGCCATGGGAAGTGCCCTAAAAGTGTGTGCTAGCGTTGCTAAGTGCTTACAATGTGTCAGGCATGACCCTCAGCACTTATGGACACTTATGTAATCCTCACAACATCCCTGTGGGGTAGGCATTACTGGCCTCATTTGACAGAAGAAGAGGCTGTGGTTCAGGGTGGGTGGCACTAGGTCAGGATCACTCTGGATGCAGAGGACTCCAGAGATCATGATCAGTTCCTACCTGCAGAGAAATTAATTATGGCCTGAGGTCCTGGCCCTGGAGAGCGTGGGGTGGACTTTCATTAACCTCCTACCCAGACCCTTGCCTTTGGGGCTCTCTCAGATGCCCTCCGTGATACCAGGGTCCTATCATACTCTCTTAATGCCCTCTCCCCTCCCTGAACCCCACCTGCCCACTGCACCCAGCCAGGGCCCCTGCTACCTCCATCTCCAGTTAACTAGGTGCAGCCTCAGTGCCAAAATGTTTGTCAAGAATGTTGAAGGAGCTGCCATTTCACCAATTTGCAAACAAATACATTAACCTGCCGCAGTTTCGTGAATGCTGGCAAAACACATAAGACTCCTGGTGCGGAGACAAAGGACTTTATTACTCACAGCTCAGCAGGCAGCATGAAGTTCATGTTCACATTGGTTCACCTTGCCCCCCAGATCCTATGGGGTGATCAGAGCAGTCCAGGCGGATGCTGTGCACACAGTGGTTTGTGCCACTGGTGAGGAACCTGAGCTTAGGAATCCTCAATCTTATAAGGAGGCTGCTTGAAACCCTGCCCAGCCTCTATCCCTGATGGAGATAATCATCTTTATCATCCTGGACTGAAAACAGACCTTCTCTGGAGGGTATTTATTGTATTTATTGTCCCGTACAGTAAACAAATCTATTGCAAGAGAGACATAATCTTTATTATCTAAGACAGTAAGCAAACCTGGATCTGAGGGAGATACCATCTTGAAAAACTGCCTGCTATCCAAACATCCTTGAAAGGACAGTCCAGAAAAAAAAAAAAGATGTTAATGCCGTTGCTCAAAAGACCCACAGAAAAGTGAGAGAACCATGGAGAGTTGTCTCCCAACACTGTTCAGTCCGAGCTTTCTACCCTTGTCTGCAGGACAATCTAAACATTTCACCATTGAACACTTTGTCTGCGACATCCTGCTTCTCCAGCTCTAACCAAGGCTCTAGGTGCAGTCTCCCCACAGCACCCCACTGTCAAGCCCAGAGTACGGGCATACGGGCGGTGCTCAAGATCCTGAGGGGGACGGCTGGGATCAGAACGGCTGGGTTTGAGTGGGGAGGGGTTCTGAAGGAGGAAGAGGCTGGAGGTCAAGGTTCTTGGTGAGGATGAGTGTGGGTTCTGAACCCTGAGGTTCCTGAGGGCAGAGGGAGGAGACCGGCAAAGTCCTGTCTCCTAAGGTACCTGTGGGAATGTCCTAAGGGCTTTAGGAATACTGTATCCCGAGGAGGGAAGGGCTGGAACCTGAGAGGTTGAGTTCCCCTTGCGTGTGGTTTGCCACTGCTTGGTCCCTGAGGGGCAGGGGCTGAGACTGTTGGCTCTAGGCCTTGGGGTGACAGTAATGAGATCTCCTGATCCCACAGGATGGGAGGACCACGAGTTGCCCATTCTTTGATCGCTCCACCTACCCCTCACTCCACTTCAGGGTAATCACCACATGCCCAGCTCCACTAGAATGCGGGGGAGCACACTCTGCGCATGCGCAGACCTCCCAGAGGCTTGTGGGCTATACACGCATCATCAGCAGTCGCGCTATGAGGGGCTTGGCCACTGCCATGACATCGTGCTGCTGCGACTAGCCTGGCCAGTGCGCCTCTTCAGTCATGTGCTGTGGTGGAGTTGCCCACATCTGGGCCCCGGTGGGTGCAGCCTGTGCTGCACGGTGTCGGGCTGGGGCTTGGTCTCAGACAGGGAGCCTGGGACCACAGGGAGCCACCACTGAAAGGTGTCTGAGAATGGCCAGATGTCGCCGTCCATGAAAACTCAAGGGTTTCTGGGTGGAGGAGTCAGGGCCCTGAACTCTGAGTTTGTTTCAAGTCCACTGTCCTCCCCAGTGAGACTCCCAGATACGCTGCGTTGTGCCAACATTAGCATTATCTCTGCCACATCTTGTAACAAGGACTACTCAGGGTGCCTGATGAGCACCATGGCGTGCAGGCATGGAGGCTGGAGGAATGAACTGCTGTGAGGTCAGGGCCTAGAGGGCACCATCCGGGGCAAGTTGGAGAGCTGGGATGTGATTGTGTTTGGTCGCCTTTGGCCAGGCCAAGTGCTGGGTATAGGTTTGAGGTTGGAGTATGAAGACCAGTTAGAAGGGAGGGTCACGTTGGAGTTGGGTTAGAGATGGGGGTAAGATTGTGCTTGGGCTGGGTTTGGGACTGACTATGTTGGAGTGGTTGGAATGGCATGAGTTTGGATGGAAATAGGTTTGATTTGATGTTGTAGGGGAAATCTGTGGGGATTGAATTAGGGATAAGAGTAGGTTTGGTTTTGGGAGTAGAAGATATGGAGGTAGGTATTTATCAGGGGTTCGCGACGTCCCCAATAAAGACAGGGTCTCCTGGAAGACTGTGTTGCAAGAGATTAATGAAACAAAGACACGGACACAGAAATAGTATTTAAGACAGCGGAGAAGTCAGGGGACCACCAACACTCTGGTGCCAAGGTGGCAGCGACTGAAACCCAGCACTTGCTTTTTATTCTTTTTGCCATGTTGCAAAATACAATGATCTCATGTGAAAAATCACGGGATACAATGATCAAATGTTTCGGGGCTCCCCCCAAAATCACAAGGTGTACTAGCTAATTTCCTTCTCCTTTCTAGAAGTGAAAAGCACATAATTCTTTAGTAGGTACAATCCTTTTGATCAAGGTAAACTAACTAATTTTATCCCAAGCTCAAGCTATGTGCATGGATATCAATCTCTAACTTCAGTAGCTGTGACCCATTTGATCAAGGAACAAAGTAACTACATGCTTTCCATTGGGAGACTGGTTTTATATTAACTGAGGCTTTGTTGAGAGAAAGGGAGAGAAGGAACTTGGCCCACTGTTCAAACAATGGAAGCCCTGATACCCTTCTCCCAGGCTAACATATAGCAATCTACCTCTACAGCCATGAGAAGTTTTCATGTCAGGCTGCCCGCGGCTTTTTGTGCATGAGACCCCTTAGGCTCTGAGGCTGGAGCATGCTTTGCTGTACTCCCAGATGGCTGATATATGTCCCCCAACTAGGCAGTTCACATCTGCCCTTAATATAGGCTTCTGCTCTGGCAATTCCTTCACCTCCTCTCCTCTCATAGCCTCAGACATAGCATCATTAAGTCCCAGTGGTCTTAATCCCATCAGGTATTGGGTTGTGTTGGATGTGTGGATTGGAATGAGCTTGGTTTGATTTTAAGTGGGGAAGTTGTAGGGGTTGGGTTATGTTAGGTTAAGTTGGGTTGGGTTAATGTGTTTGTTTAGGGTTGTGTGTGATGTGGTTGGATTGGGTTGTGTTAGGTTTTGGTTGAGGTTTGGATGGGAATGAGGATATGCTTGGAAACACTGGATCCAGGAGGTCCTCACTCAAGCTGAAGCAAACGTCCTTTCACAGGATGATTGCAGGGAACCCTTGATCTATGTGGCGGGGAGGTCAGGCCACTGGCTGAGTATATCCTGTCACCCTAGTCCTTACAGTCTTAGATTGTGAGTATCTGAGTCCTCTTCTGTCTCTCTCGCTATACTTAGAGTTTATCTGGTCCCTCACCTAGGAAAGGGAGAAGATTTTATCAAGTTCTCGAGACACATCTGGGGCTGGATCCCTGTGAGCTGCTCTGGTTTTATGGAACATCTGAAATAAGCAACTTGTTGGAATGTGGGGAGTCCAATAAAGTTAACAGTGGAGGTGGCAGGGCTCTTGTTCCAGATTCTCTTCTGAGACCCCAAACTATGATTTTCAATGCCACTTAATCTTGAGGTGCATAAACCTGGCTCCCGGGAGCTAAACATTTTGTTGAGGGAAGGCTGTTGCACTTTGCATGAGGATACTCCTGACCTGGGAGGGCATGTCAACAGGGATCCTTGCTGCACAGTTAAGAGTTCATAGATCTGGAGAACAAGCAGTGGGGATCCTTGGAACCCCACATCATTTGGAGAACATAGAATTTTGAAATGCTAGGGAACTTGGTCTGGGAGACCCATTTCTGGATCGGAAGGTGTCAGGTCAGTGGGTCTGTGGGATGACAAGGTTATATGATGAGAGGAGCAATAGATTTGGGGAACTAGATTCTGGTTGTGAGTGCAAGAAACAGAATTCTGAATGCCAAGGCTTCTATTTCAGGGACATGAGAAGTTGGAGGTCTAACATCTTGGTTCCGAGTGGTATAGGCAGCAGAGATTGTCACAACACCATGGTGCTGGTATTTCAGGGCACCTTGTGTCTTGGGGTGCAAAGGACTTACTTTGGGCTTAGGCACATGAGACTTTGATTACAAGTCAGTGATTTATCCCAACCCCTGTTCCTGTTCATCCTTCTCTGCCTCTGTCCTCTGGATCAAGTTTCCATGAGCTATTGGCCTTGCTCCGTCTGGTCTCAGACCCTGGGAATGCACCCAGGGTGATCTAGTATCTGCAGAACAACCAGTGCTGGTTTTCCCTCCCCCTCCACAGCTCTGGGCGTGGGAGGGGATTGTCCAGCCTCCAGTGGCATGGGGAGGGCTTGGCCAGCATTCGGGTGCCAGCAGGGGAGGGGTGGAGCCCTGGGGAGTGAAGGCTTTATAGGGCTCCTCAGGGAGCTCTAGGCCCAGGCTCACCACCTGTCCCTGGACACCTCTGTCACCATGTGGTTCCTGGTTTTCCTGCTCACCCTGTCCCTGGAGTGGACCGGTGAGACAGATGGGGGATGCAGGAGGGGATGCGGGCCCTGACTCCCATGTTGAAGACCTTTACTCCCACCCAGCACCCAGCCCCGTCCCTCCAGCCCACAGTCTACCCCAGACCAGGGTGCCAGGCTCTTTTCTACCTCCCCCATCCCCTCCATATTGTCACAGTCTTCATTCCTGCACTAGGTCCCTGCTCCTTCCCGCTTACCCTAGAACTTTCTCCCCTTGCCCAGCCAACTCCCTAATCACAGCTGTTTTCCCAAAGGGGCAGATCCTGGGCCATCTCTGTGTTTCTTTGTGGGACTCAAAATCTTCCAAGGACCTCTGTCAATGACATTGGTTCCTTGGACCCCGATCACTCGTCTGCCTCCTCAGCCTCTAAATCCTACCACATTCTGCTGACTTTTCCCATCCAGCTGTGAGCGCTCAGCCCTGTCCCCTAGCCCTTGACATCTGGCCTACCAGTCCTGCTCCTAGGAAACCCGATTCCACCCCAACTTCTTCCCAGCCAGGCTATCTGGCTTGAGACAACACCTGGCCCCCTCAACTGGCATTGGGGTTCTGAGAACTCCTCCTTCTCCTTTTGCCCCGGACCCTCCATCCGAGGGCCAGCCTTGTCTCCAGGAAGAGCACAAACAACTCCAACCACACTGCCAGCTCTCCCAGAACTGGTTCCCTAAATCCGCATCCTTTTCAAACCTCAGAAACCCAAGCCAGGCCCAGAATGTTTCCTCAACCTGGGACTCTGCAAACCCTGCAAACCTACCCCTCCCAGCAACTGAACCCCTCCATGGGGCACTGCTTCCTGGTTTCTGAACCCCTTATCCTTTCAGGACCCACAGCTTCCACCACAGTTTACCTTCTCCCAGCCCAAGACCGCGAGTCACCCCAAATAACCTGATCCCAGACTCGATCCCTGCTCCAGATGCTGCCTTGTGTCTTCAAACTTGATCCCTGGGGTCTGCTCTGCACTCAGAGCATAAACTCTCCCCACCCAGGACCGGCCACCAAGCTGCAAACCCAAGGATGGTTCTAGAATTCCAGGCCCTTCCCACAACCCCTTGCCTGTGTCCTTGGACCCCCAGCCCCGACCCTCTGCCCCACAGCCTGCCAAGCACAGCACAGCTCCCCCTGCTGGCCCAGTCCTCCAGCCCCTCCTGCCAACTTCAAACCCCTCTAACCCAGCACCCCCTCTGCAGGTGCTGCCCCCCTCATCCAGTCCCGGGTTGTGGGAGGCTGGGAGTGTGAGCAGCATTCCCAGCCCTGGCAGGCAGCTGTGCTCCGTCGTGGCTTTGCACAGTGTGGGGGTGTCCTGGTGCACCCCCAGTGGGTGCTCACAGCGGCCCACTGCATCAGCCGGTGAGTTGGGGCCAGGGGGAGTGTCTGTGCCCCTTGGGAACAACAGCTGGGCATTTCCACTGGGGTAACCTCAGGCGAGGCTGGGGGATGGAGGGAGAGAAGGAAGGTTCTGGTCTAGGTGCATGGGGAGGCAGAGCTGGGGCTGGACCACCCTCCCATGGCTGCCTGAGTCTCTCTCTGGGTCTCTGTGTGTGTCCTTTTCTGGCTCTGGTTGTATGTCTGACTGTGACTGTGTTTTGGTCTCTATCTCCCGCTTTGTCTCCATGTCTCTGTGTCTCCGCTGTCTCTGACCCTCTCTGGGTCACTCAGTGGTCATCTCTGTCACTGTGGGTCTCACCTTCCATCTCTCTTCCTGTCTCTCTCCCTGGGTCTCTGTCCCACCCCTCCCCATCACCACTGAACACACACCCAGGATGGGTCTAAGGGGTCCCCGAGAGAAGGAAGGGCTTTAGCCCCACCCTGTGTGCATGAGGGGGCGCCTCTCACTCTGCCCATCCCCCCTCAGGACATCAGTCCACTCTGGGGAGGCACAGGGAAGGGCTGGTTTCCCCTGGAGCTGGGTGGGGCCACTGAGGGAGGAGGAGAGAGAAGAGGGACCAAGAAAGGGGGGAGGGCGCTGGGAGGGAAAGGGGGACGCGACCTTGGGCTCTGGGCCAGGCCACCCCCCCTCTGGGGAGCCCCCACAGCCCCAGCTGCAGCTGAGCCGCTCTCAGGACTCCCATCCCCTGCCAAGGCCCCCCCTTTTCTCACAGCCCGGACCCCTGGCTTCCTCTCTGCCTCTGGCCCTCACTCTCCCTCTGACTTCCTGCCTCCGCTCTCCTTGGATGTTCCTCACCCCTTCCCTGTTCTGCTCTCTCCTTCCTCTTCCCTGTGTGTTTCTCGCTGCCTCTGCCCTTCCTCTTTCTCAGCCTGTCTCTTTTTTGCTCCCTCTGCTGTTTCTCACTGTTCTCCCCTCTGCCTTTCTCATTCCCTCTGTCCTTCTGAGCTCTTTCTTTCCCCCTCCGTCTCTCTTGGCTTTTGTCTTTGCCTTTCCTGGGTTCACACTCCTTTGTTTTGTAACTTGCTGTCTGTATTTCATCATGACCGTCTCTCTCCCACCCCTGTGGGGTTATTTTCTTCATTGTTTCTCTTTCTCTCTTTCGGGGCCATCTCCCTGCTCCCTGCCCTGTCTCCCTTTGCCCACCGTCCTCTCTGCTCATCCGTCCATCCCCTTCCTCCCAGCAACAGTCAGGTCTGGCTGGGTCAGCACAGCCTGCTTAAGCACGAAGACACAGGCCAGGTGGTCAAAGTCAACGGCAGCTTCCCACACCCGCACTACAATATGAGCCTCCTGAAGCGCCAAGTATTTGGGCCAGATGATGACAGCAGCCACGACATCATGCTGCTCCACCTGTCAAATCCCGCCAACATCACGGACGCTGTCAAGGTCCTGGACCTGCCCACCCGGGAGCCAGAAGTGGGGAGCACCTGCTACGCCTCAGGCTGGGGCAGCATCCAACCAAAGACGTGTACGCCTGGGCCAGACAGTGCAGCCCGGAGCCCGGTGCCTGCGTCTGAGGGAGGAGGGGCCTGGGAACCAGGTGGGCTCTGACTGCAGCCCTGTTTTTCCCTGGCCCATAGTCTTGCGCCCAAAGGCTCTCCAGTGTGTGGACCTGGAGCTCTTGTCCAATGACAAGTGTGAAGAAGCTTACTCTGAAAAGGTGACAGAGTTCATGCTGTGTGCTGGGCACTGGGATGGCAAGAAAGACACCTGTTCGGTGAGCCACCCCTCCCCTTAAGATCTTGAGGGGAAAGGAGAGAGGGGACCCTGATTCTGGGTGGGGATCTGAAAGCTAACCCAGCATCTGCTTCCGCTGCTCTCTGTCTGCCCCCCTCACCCCCAGCTCCTCCTCTCCCTCCCTCCTGCCCCCTTTCCTTACTCCCTGGAGGCACCGCCTGATCCTCACAGCATCATCCACCTGTTCCTCCGTCCAACACATGCGCCCTGGGCATCTGCTACGTGCCCCGCACTGCCCTAGACCCTGGGAAGGCCGCAGGGGGCAGACAGAGCAGCCCCTCCCTCGTGGAGCCCCGTTGGTGAGGGGCACAGGCAGGAACAGGGAACGTAGCACAGAAATGATCGAGGGTGTCAGGAGGTGCGGAGCTCTGGGGGCAGGGAGGGGAGATGGGGATAGTGTGACCATGGGGACCTCTTGCAGAAGGTGGGCGTGAGCAGACGCCTAAGGCAGGTGAGGGGCGAGCCAGCATCTGGGGAGGAGCAGAGGGAGCAGCGGGTGCCGGGCTGGGCTGAGGGGAGAGGGCCGGAGGGTGTGAGGAGCAGCAAGAACTCACCACACAAATGACAGCAATAACAGGGCTGGAGTGAGGAAGGACAGGAGAGACCTCAGGGAGTAAGCCAGGGCCCGTCCTGCAGGGCCTCCTGGGCCGCGTGAGGACGCTGCTTTGCCTCTGAGGAGTCGGGAGCTGCAGAGGGTGCTGGGCAGAAGGTGGACGGGGCCGACTCAGGTGTCCACAGGCTGCCACTGGCCTCTGGGTGGGGATCAGACTGCGGGGAGCAAGCGAGGCAGAGGCCAGGGAGGGAGTGAGGATGGGGCTGACAGGCGTGGCAGCTCCAGGCCTTGTTCCCACCTGGACCCTCACCACCCTCCCCGACAGGCGCCTGGACCTCAGCCTCTCCGCCTCCATTCCATCCCTCTCCTGGCCCCAGTGGGTCATGCTAATCTCAGAAGTGACCTTGTCCTGCCCCTGCTCACAGCCCTCCATGGCTCCCCAGTGTCCTGGGGAGGGGGCTGTCTAGTCAGGAAAAGCTTCTTGGAGAGGTGGCCTCTGGGATGAGCCCTGGGGTTGGGGGTGCTGCAGGTGGCCTTGCTTCTCTCCCCACTGACCTGTGCAGGGACTGTCTTGGACCCTGCCCCTGCACAGGAGCTGGTCCCTGATGTCCCTTTCCTGGTGGCCAGGACTCAAGCCACTGTCCCTTCTGTTGGAATCCCTGCCACTCCCTGCTTCCTCTGGGAGTGGGCTCTGGGGACATTTCTCTCTTTCCCGGTAGCTGGAAAATCTCTATAAGTCATCCACCAGCCCCCGTGTGAGAGTTGGGGCTCCCAAGGAAGAAACTGGGGCTGAACTTTCTCACTTTCTGTCTCTCTCCCTTTTACTCTTAGGGTGACTCGGGGGGCCCACTCATTTGTAACGGCATGCTTCAGGGTCTCACATCATGGGGCAGTCAGCCATGTGCTAAGCCCCAGAAGCCTGCCCTGTACACCAAGCTGTGGATTTATCAGAAGTGGATCAAGGACACGATCGCTGCCAATCCCTGAGTGCCCCTCTCCCATCCGCTACCTCTAGTAAAATCGAGTACACATCAAGTTCTGAAATCATCCAGCCTTTCTAAATGCTGGGTACCTGGAAGCTTGGAACTCACCTGGCCAAAGCTAGAGCCAGCCCAGTTCGCCCAACCTGTGTCCTCAAGTGTGGAGTCAGGGTGTGACAGAGGTGTAGACGAGTGTTTCTCAAATGGTTGTAATTTTGCCCTCCCCACTCTCTCCGGGAACATTGGCAATGTCTGGAGAATTCTCCTTACTCAGGTTCTTCAAGGATACACATAAGGACGTGGGTGGGGCGTAATCTGTGTGGTGCAGAGGTGGAGGAGGGGTGGAGTTCACCCTGGGAGAGTGGACAGTGACGCTTGGTGGATGCTTTCCATGGCCACCGCGCAGAAGCTGGAGGCACGACACACCAGACGTACACACAGTGAGGATGAAGCTTGAAATACAACCCACCTTGTCCCGGGTCACTGGGAAGCCTGGAGAAGGTTGCAAGCGGAGGAGGCGTGGGGTGCTCCTATCTCGTAGGGAGACAGACTCAGGGAAGAGCCTGGAATCCCTGGAAGCTGATCCACTCTGGGGGTGTGTGTTGGGGGGTCTCCCAAACCACCCTCAGATTTGATGATTTCCCAGTAGTACTCACAGAACTCAAAAGAGCTGTTACACTGTGGTTTATTGCTGTTTGTCACAGTGACAGGAAACAGATTAAAACAGCAAAGGAAACAGGCGTATAGATTGGAGTGTGGGGAAAAGGGAAAACTTAGTTTTTCTCTCCCAGTGGAGTGTTATAGACCCACCTAATTCTCCCAGTGAAGTCACGTGGCAGCACTTACGACATATTTCAGACTAAGGAAGCTCACCTGAGCCTTGGTGTCCAGAGTTTTTGTTGGGGGTCTGTACAGCAGGCATGGGGTGCTCAAACGGTTCAGTCCTCATTCTCTCCAAAGGTCAAACTGGTAGAGCACGGCCCAGAGTCCCAGACATACAAAAACAGGCATTCATCGTAAATCACGTTCTTAGCACAAATTGTCTGGCATGGCCCGAGGCCCCAGACATACCAAAGCACTCTTAGCAGAACATTCTAAGGCAGCGGTGAGGAACCTGTGGTCTTCTAGGTCCTTAAGTGCAGCCTTTTGACAGAATCCACATTTTACAGAATAAATCCTTTTATTTTTACTAATACATTTTC